AATGTTAACATACAAATTGAATCTTGAGGCATTTTTCTCAATTTATCCATCCAAGTTTTTATTAAGTGGCATAAAAAGCTACCTTTGATTAAAACACCAACATATCCTATAAAGAAATCACGGGATATAAATGATAGCAGCCGTTGTAAATGGCTATCTATGACCTATGCGTGATTCTACATTAGACAAATTAGCTCACTTAATTCTCATAATAATGCTATTAATTCTCATAATAACCCTATTAGGTTTGGCATTGTTATTGTTGTTTTTGTTATTGTTATTACTGCTATTTACAAATGAGGATACTGAAGTGTCTGAGGATAACTTATCCAACATCACACAGAATAGTAAGAGTGAAGTGTACAAAACCAGTTGGCCTGATTCCATAGGTTGTGTTCTTAACCACCACATTCTTCCTGATTACTAAGAGATTCCTGGAAGATGCTAAACTGTCTCTATGATGCATTCAAGAGATATGCACAATATTAATCCATCACAGCTTTATTTATAAGAAAACAATAATACAACAATACTTTCGAAATGATTTACATAGACTTTTACTACATTATTTTATTAGATCTTGGCAGCAATCTGATGTGCTTTCTGATAAGTCTCTTTATTACCCTCATTTTACAAATGAAGTGACTGATTTTGAAACTTTGCCCAGTGTCAGAGAGTGGTTATAACTACCATTTGGGTCTCTTAATTTAGAGATAATGGACTTTCTATTTTGTTTTACTATCATATAACACTTGAAGTCAGAATTTTATGGAAAGTCAAATGGAATTATTATAAAAACTCACTTCTAATTCGTGTCTTATTTTTTCTGTGAAAAATTCTCAGAAAGAATTGAGATAGTTTGGTCGGTATCACAAAGAGTGCTTAGGGTTTTATGAGAATCAGAAGAGAAGGATGTCTCAAAAGCATTTGGGTCCCCCCTGTGATGATTAACTGATTTTCTAAGACCAATGATTTGCTGGTAGCTAAATCTTTTTGATTACTTCCTTGCTGTGTTATTGGAGATGAAAATGGAGACAGCTTGTCAGTAAAATTCTGATATGTTTCCATTGCTGTGAAAACATTGTTCTGTCTCATACCACTTTATAGATTCCTAGGCTTTCATTTTTAAGTAATTCTGAAGTTCCAGCAACACGTCCATGTTAAAAGATACTTCATATGTTAGTGGTAGAATCTTCTACCACTTATGCAAAATTTTATTTCCTTAAAATAAGGAATTTCAAATAAAAGTATTTTGGTTTTGTTATTAAAAAGAGCTAAATGACAAATAAGGAGCTGGTATCTGTGATAATTCAAAAAAGCTTAGCAGTAGAAAGCCAATTCAATCTCCTACACTACTACTTCTTCACAGGGATCCTCAATCTTTTTAAACTGGGGGCCAGTTCACTGTCCCTCAGACTGTTGGAGAGCCGGACTGCAGACCCAGGGACGAGTCTGCTGCTAAGCAGGATAGGCAGCACTGGCAAAAACACCTGGTGGGCCAGATAAATGTCCTCAGTGGGCGCATGTGGCCCATGGGCCATAGTTTGAGGACACCTGTAGAATATTTCAGAAATAATTGGTATGCATTAAGATGACCCAGAGCATCTCTGGGAGATTTTGAAACATTTTCCACATTATCCAAAGAAGTTTCAGGACAATCACAATCATTGTGTTATTAAGATCATTAAATAAGTCTTGTTGTAATTCAATTAACATTTTCTGTTTCTTTTCTTGTTATCTCTATTCCAATTATCTTTTCATTCTTTGTTTTGTCCTATTATGATAGGCTGCTGTGTAATGTTGGGTTTTGAACTTGAATATTCTATAATAATTCAAAACAACTTTGAACATTGTTACTTTCTTTTACATAATTATACAGTGTGTTTTTTTATAAATTGTATTTGGGGGATCATTTGCCCTTAGTTATTTGTATTTCTACTTTCCGGAGGGATGAAGTTACATAAAGAGCATAGGAAATGTTCACCTTTCCTTTGTTTCACAATTGCAGGATGATCCGTTCTCTGCCCTGGACATTCACTTGAGTGATCACTTAATGCAGGAAGGAATTTTGAAATTTCTCCAAGATGACAAAAGGACACTGGTTCTTGTGACTCACAAATTACAGTATCTGACACATGCTGACTGGGTAAGAGTTTAGAAGAGAGTTTTGTTAATTTTTATATTGCAGTCATATAAATAGAGACATTAAGAAATGCTTTCTCAACATAGTATAAAAAATAAGAAGAAATTCTTGCTTAAAGAACAGTAATTCATTTAGTTAATTGAGGCTTTTTGGTCAAATTTCTGCTAATATCTCCTTTCCTTAGATTATAGCTATGAAAGATGGAAGTGTGCTGAGAGAAGGGACTTTGAAGGACATTCAAACCAAAGATGTTGAACTTTATGAGCACTGGAAAACACTTATGAATCGGCAAGATCAAGAATTAGAAAAGGTAATCGCTCATGACTCTGAGGAGTTCAGAGTCCAGTTCAGAAGAATGCTTGATGATATAATGGTCCTCATTTGAAATCCAAAGTAATTATGTCTTTATACATTACCAATGAGCAGGTTACTGTGAACACATAAAATTTTAATGCTATCTTTGGATGAGTGCTGTCAGGGTTTTAGCAGAGTCTCATTTAAATTTGAACCATATTGCAATTA